CAATAAACACTAAGCTGACATAACTATATCTGTCATATAATGAAACATTACTGAAATAAAATGTTATAATAAATTGCTATACATTCCAGATGCCTGGTATTAACCCTTATTTTCATGTCTTTATTTGTTGGAATCAATTTTTATCTCTCACCTTGTTTTCCTTCTTAACCCGTCACTGTAGCCCCACTTGTATCCTGCATTTGGTGGTTGATTGTCTTTGCCAGCTCTGTGGTCTTATTCGCAATCTGAGTCATGTGTGGGGGACCAGAGATTTTGGGGTCAACAGGATTCACTTTCCTTCTTCAGTTCAGCCTATCGCTGTCCAGTAGTGGAAGCTGTTACTTGCAACTATGGACAATAAAACTCCAAAAATATCCATTCTTATGAGGAATAATGTAAACTCTTGGTTTCAGGATCCTCTGGGACCCATCACAAGTAATCTAAAGTACCAAAGATTATTAGCCTAATGTCTGTGAGGAAGTATTCAGGATATTAATTCACAAGTTGTATCTGATTGCCAAGTTAGTCTCTCTTGCCAAACAGTGAATAATTGAGCTGTGGATAATATCATGCTGCAAGGGTGATAAAATAATAACGATGATGACAATAACAATAGCTAACACTGAGGTGGTAGAACCAAGCGCAACTCTAAGCCTGTTATGTACATTACCTTATTTAATTATCATAGCATTTCTATGACATAGATACAATTGTTAGCCTATTTTATAGATGAGGAAACCGAAGCTCAGAGGGGTAAATTATATGTCCAAGGTTACATAATTTGTACCCAGGCAGGATAATTCCAAAGCCTTGCTCTTAATCACCACACTATGAACTCTATTTAAGAGTAGAACTTAACAGAATGTTCTGCTTCACATCCCTTTTGGGAGGCGGATTACTCCAAGTGAAGACATACAGAAGTAGGTTAGGAATAAGAATAACACACACACACAACCTTTATTTCTTTGAGGCTAGTGACGGGTGGGAAGGGAGGTGGGAGAATGAAGCAGTTAATAATAACTGCTAAAAGAAAGAAATTTAGAAAAAATATCAGGCAATTTAGTTGGGAGGAGATTATTTTTAGCTGCTGGGCAGGAAGGAGTTGAGTACATAGTGAAAGCCATCAAAGGTTTTTAAGCACAAAAGGGACATAATGAAAGTTCTGCTTTTAGGAAAATAAATCTACCATCAGTGAATATTATGGCCTGGAAGGGAGAAAGACTCAAAGTGGAGAGGCCAATTTGGAGGTGTCTGTATGAACCCATGAGGAGCCCTGGTGGCGCAATGGTCAAGCACTTGGCTGCTAACTAAAAGGTTGGTGATTCGAACGGATCAGCTGCTCCACAGGACAAAGATGTGGCAGTCTGCTTCCGTAAGGATTAAACAAACACACACACAAAAACCAAACCAGGTGCTGTTGAGTTGATTCTGACTTATAGTGATCCTACAGAACTGAGCAGAGCTGCCCCACAGGGATTCCAAGGAGTGGCAGGTGGATTTGAACTGCTGACGTTTTGGTTAGCAGCCACGCTCTTAACCACTAAGCCACCAGGGCCTTGGGAACCCTATGGAACAGTTCTACTCTGTCCTATAAGGTCGCTATGAGTTAGAATCAACCCAATGGCAACGAAACAGGTTATATGAACCCACAGGGCAGGGAGTGAGTGTTGGAGCCAGGGAGTGGCAGTGGGAATTGATAGGCTGGGAGAGTCCCTGTAGAGGAAGGATGGACAAGGCACTGGATATAAAGAGTCAAACTGACTCCAAGACTCCAACATGAAAGACTGAGAATAGGGGTGACTCATTAAGAGAAATGGGAAAGCTGGGAGGAAAGAAGTGTGGGATTGTCTGGGGATTAAAGTTTAAGAGGGAAGTTGGGAACCTAGATTCTCTGTGGAGCATGGAGGGTTAAAATAACAGAAATAGATAAGAGTCTGAAGGGAGAGAATGTAGAGTAAAATCAAGAGTGATGAAGGCAGAATCTTGGGAAACATTTACATTTAGAGGCAATAAGAAGAGAAGTCAGAAAAGATAAGGTCAGAAAGATAGGAAGAGAGCTAAGAATAGCTTAGAAGCAAAGGGAAGAGAAAATTTGGAGGATGAGGAGAGTGACGGAAAAGACCAAATGTTATACAAAGGTCATGGATGAGACCCAAGATGAGGCACCGGGTTTGGCAATAAAGACTCCTGAGGAAGCAGGTGGGCTGCTCCAGCGAATGAATGAGCATGATGGGGGTACTAGAACTGGGTCCTTCCTGCCCAACACCAGACTTCTCTAATGGGTAGCATTTGCTTGGGGACCCCTTAGTGACCTGGCTGAGATTTTCTCTGGACGGCATTGTAGTCTGAGGGCCTTCCTATCCAATCTTTCCTTATCTTTCTCCTTTCACAGGTGTCAGAACTGCATCACAGTTTGAAGGATCTCCCTTCCTACTCCTGCTCCTCCCCCTTTATCTTTTACAGGCATTTCCCCCAATAAATCTCTTGCATGTCTAAGTCTGTTTTGGCATCTGCTTTATGGAGACCCTGAACTGAAACCTCTGGAATACTTTTAGTGGAGGGCCTAATGCCTGGAAGGTATAGGCAGTGAGGTGTGACTGTAAAGATGTGAGGCTGAGGTTCATAAGATTTGTTATTGGAAATAATTATAGACTCACAGAAAGTTGCAAACATAGTACAGAGTCTGATGTACCCTTCATCCAGCTTAAGAAGTTCATATAACTTAACAAGTTCATATAATTTTGTTCTATCTGTTTCCCATTATGCTACTGTCCACTTCATAGGTATACTGACCTTGTCTTAATTACAAAAAGCCATGTAAGTAACAGTTCTTTTCCAAGTCAGCTAACTACAAGGCTTGTAAGACGTAAACATAAAGCTGTGGGTGGAGGGATAAATAAAAAATGAGAGCTGTCCATGGAGGATAGAGCTCTCCATCCATCCATCCATCCATTCATGTTTGCTAAGCATTTCTTAAGTGTGAAGAACTATGCACTGAGTGTACTGGCATACACCTGTCTCTGGGCTCAGATGAGATGAGGAACCAGCATATACAGTTAGTTTTGAAGGCAAAGGATATCCAGATCTATCTTGTGATCATTTCCACACAGGCAGTAACTCAACCGATAGCAACCTTATGCTCAACAGCCAGGATCCTGCCTTTTTATGAGTCACTGTAAAGTGCCAAGTACATTGACATATACTTCATAAATGCTAAATAATAACAAGTCAGTGAACCTAGAAGCACTGGATTCAGTATTTGAGACATTAAATCCAACTTATGCTGTTCTAGAAGCAAAGCAAACAAATAAATCAACCCCAAATCCAATAAACCCCACATCCATCCCCGGCCAGCAGTGGGTGTTGTCTGGAATGCTCTTTATGGGCGAGTGGTTCTCTCATTAAGGGGCACTTGTTAGTACCTTACCTGACAGATCACACACAATGCCTTGCTTGTGATTTCGGAGGAGAGTTTTATATCTAACCCACAGCAGACAACAGCGACACTATGTTCTTAAGGCTCCAATTCCCTTTATTTGATGCCAGAAAATAATATCTGCTGAAGCTCTGGAGAAGAGCAACAGTAACCCCACTGAGCAATTAGCCTGATCCTGGCGGGGAATCTCTGTAGGCAGTGCTGGGAGACCCTGTTTGTATATTTCAAAGCCAGGATTTAGTTTTCCTTTAAGATGTAAGTCTCTTTAGGGATCCCTGTGATTCCTTGAGGGTTTAGGTACACAACCTAGAAAGCCTGAAATGCCACATAATCCCATACTGCCAACTGTAAAGGACTGCAGCGTGGTCTGAGTGGTTTTCTGATTCACAGTCCAGAGCTCTAAGCAGCGTCTGGTGTTCTCTGATTTGTGATCTCTAGGCACAGCCCCCTCTCTCTCTCGGAGCCTGCCATCTTGGTTCCACATACATAGATGATTTACCTCAACCCTTAATCATTTCATCGTGATGACACCCTTGGGAGCAGCATCCAACTCTCCATCACAAAAGACTGACAGAGAAGCCTATTGCAACACAGACTGACAAGATCACACTTTGCCAAATGCTTAACCACTGTGCCACCAGGGCTTCTTGAAGTTAGTACTAGGAGGAGATTCTTTCCTTCAATGGCCGTTTCCAAAAGGATTTTACTCTCATTCAATTGCAGCCAAAGAGAGGAGAGCCTAGGAGCCTACATACACAAGACACCCGGGATCTGGTAAATGAAGTGTTGGGTGGAGGACTATGACAAGGAGATTACAGAGGGCCAGGAATCAAAAGATAAAACAGCCATCAGATGCTGACCTTGTTAATTCTACAAATACAAGACAATTCTAGCCAGTTGCTGCTTGGCCCAGATCTAGCTCTTCACATCTCACAGAACTGAACATACATGTGGCTAGAATGATGCCTTCAATGCTTAGGGCAGTGGTTCTCAAACTTCACTATGCTTCCAATTCACCTGTGGAGTTTGTTAAAAAGGGGCATTTCTGGTTCTCACCTTAGATATTCTGATTCCATAGCTCTGGGATGGGGCTTGGGAAGTTACATTTTTAGCAAGCACTCCAGTGACAGAAGCAGAGGGATTGCCAGTCATATTTTGGAAATCATTGTTCTAAACTAGTGTTTTTCAATCTTCACAGGTGTGCACAATTAAAAGGTTTAGGGGAATACCTTTAAAATAATCTAGTCTGAATTTCTTACCATGCAGATGAGGAAACTGAGGGGTTAAGTAACATTCTCAAGGTCGCCCAGCCAGTTGCAGGCAGAAAGTTAGGACTAGAAGCATGGTCTAGCCACAGCGCCCTTTTTACTAACTATAGCTTTTGGTTTGGCGAATCTTCTTTCCTTCAAGTCCTATTGGACATACATGCACATAGGTAGAAATTGGCATATATCTGGATTAAATATTTTGGTAATTTTTATATTCCTTGAAACAACTGGTGAGAGCTTCAGTGTTGTTGAAACAAAGATTAGAAACAATGAGTTCAGAGAGAGGCTGCACCTACCTTGTCCAAAGTCTATGGTGAAGAAGATGATAGCAGGGACTCAAGAGTTATCCTCTGAGCAAGCACAATGTCTGGGTTCCTCCAATCAGTGTCTACAATAAAGCAAAAAGTAAACAGTTGCAAGAAATTGTACGTATTCTTGACACTGCATTAAAAAAAACAGTTAAGTGTTTTTCCACAAGCTGTGTTAGAATCAAAACAGATTTAAGTGTCATAATTATGCTCATCCTCTCTAAGTGAGGTCAACCCCTCACTTTGGGTGGCCATTGACAGTTTAAGCTCAAGAGTTCTGTGTCTCAGCAAATGCCTGATGTATCTTGGCGAGCGCCTTTGAAGATTAGTCCATAAGCTTGATTCTGAAGTTGTTAGAGGATGGACCCCCTGAGATGGGCAACAAGGCTCCGAGAACCTTGGACTTGATTTTTGGTTTCTCTCTTTACATAAGAAGTGAAAACTGAGAAAGCCCACATTCCAAACGAATGGGACATCAGAGAAGGCAAGTCAAGAACAGTGACTAGGTCTTCATCATTTAAAAGGCTGCACTCGTTGATTGATTGATTCATTCATTCAAGAAATATTTATGAAGACCTATGTGCCAGGCAGCTGTTTTGCTCAGTAACGTGTTAAGTTTTATCCAACATGAAGCTGACTGAATGGAAGGAGGGTAAATACATAGCACCTTGGTTCTATGGTCTAGTCAACCAGGCTAGTGGTCATCTCATCTTTTGGACTGGGGAACATTTCCCAGCACCATCTAGTGGCCAGAGAGATGAGCACGGTCAAATGGTGGGATTTAACATTCTGGGGAGTGATATGAGGAGCCCTGGCAGCGCAGTGGTTAAAGTGCTCGGCTGCTAACCAAAAGGTCAGCAGTTTAAACCCACCAGCCGCTCTGCGGGAGAAAGATGTGGCAGTCTGCTTCTGTAAAGATTTATAGCCTTGGAAACCCTATGGGGCAGTTCTACTCTGTCCCATAGGGTCGCTATGAGTTAGAATAGACTCGATGGCAGTGGTTTGGTTTGGGGAGTGAAACACAAAGAAAACACCAGTAAAGGGGTTGTAGTGTGGTTCAAACATCCAGTTACTCTAGTCATTTGATGGAAAGGCCATGGTCTAGTAACCTTACATGTTGTAGAGGCAAGAGCACTCATTTGGGAGTCAGGGGGCCTGGGTTCAATTCTGGATGACCTTGGACTATAGTAGGGTCTTCTCAATCTCCGCACTATTGAAATTTTGGGCCTGTTTGTTCTGTGCATTGCAGGATGTTTAGCAACATCTCTGGCTTCTACCCACTAGATGCCAGGAGCATCTTATCATTCCCAGTTGTGAAGACCAAACACGTCTCCAGTCATTGCCAAATGTTCTATGGGGGTAAAATCATACCCAGTGAGAACCACTGGCGTATAGTAATACCAACCATTTTTGAGGACCAATTAGGGGGGCTGCACTGGGACTTTGTATACATTATCACATTCAGTGTAGACACTAGCTTTACAAAGTAATCATCATTATTCCCGTTTTACACATGGTGAAACTGAGGCCCAGAGATGTTGAGGAAACCACCCACATGACTGGTAAGTGTTTGGGGGGATATGAACCCAGGACTATTTGACTCCAAGGCTCATATTCATTTATTCTCTGCTTTTTTTTTTATTATATCATGAAATATTTTAAGCATTCAGAAGAGTACAGAGAATAACATAATAAACAACTACATACTTAACACCCCAATTTAACAAATGCTAATATTTTTGTCATACTTGTTTTAAGTTTTTTTTTTGTTTTGTTTTTGGCAAGAAAATGTTACCAATGCAGCTGAATCTCCCTTTGAAGATTTTCCCAATCCTGTTCCTTTCACTTTCTTCCCCCAAACAGCCATTCTACTGAGGCTGATGCCATCCCCTCCCTGGGAAAGGTTTTACACTTTTCTTAAATATATGTCAGTGTGTTCACAAACAACATACAGCACTCTATAAAATATACATAAAGGATATACATCCTTCTGTAATTTGCTTTTTTCCTCAACATTCATTTTTTCTATGTTGAAACTATAGTTCTAATTTTTGTATTTTAATTGTTGTAGTATAACAAATGAATGAACCAAAAGAATGAACAAATCAGTCTTTGAAGATACACTATCAGAATGCTTCTTAGTAGCAAGGATGGTGAGACTTTCACTCATTTACTTTGGACACAACATCAGGAACGACCAATCACTAGAAAAGGACAGCATGTTTGGTAAAGTAGAGAGCCAATGAGAATGGGGGAACCCTCAATGAGATGGACTGACACAATGCCACAACAATGGACTCAGCGTTTCACTCCGTTACACATAAGGCTGCCGTGAATCGGAGCTGAGTCGACAGCAGCTAATAACAATAACAATGATAAAATAAATAGATCGCAACATATTCAAGCATTCCTCTTTTGGTGGACATTTAGTTTGTCTCCTATTTTTCAAAATTACGTGTCATGCTTCTGGGAACATGACTGTGTGTCTCTGAGCACATGTGAGCATTTCTCTAGAAGACGAAGCTAAAAGTGGAACTGCTGCGCTGCAGGAAGCGCCCATTTTCAACGTTACTAGATATTGCCAAATCGGTCTCCAAAATGATTGTGCTAAATTACACTCCCTCCAACAGACTATACGAATTTTAATTTCTTCACATCCCTGCAAGGCTTGGTATTTTCAAACTTTATAATGTTTGCCAGTTTGATTGGGATAAAATGAACATATAATTATTGTTTCAAAAGCCTGTGTTCTTAACCACTACTCGGTCTTGAAGCTTCTTCTATGCAAGATGGAGAAAATACTTTTGCCTATTTCTTGGAGTAGTTATGAATTCTCCTGGTGTAATATGTGAATGTAAATATGAAGTGGCACTTTTTATACATTGCTTGTGGGAGAGGAAACTTACACAGTTTCTATAGCAGGCAATTTGACAAAATCTATCAAAATTTCAAACTTACGTATATTTTATTTTATTTGAAAAATAATTTTGAGATTATAGAAAAGTTACAAATTCCTGTGTACCCTTTATCCAGATTTTCCAAATGTTAACATATTATCATACTTGCTTTATAATTCTCAGTCTCTCTCTTTCTGTTCTCCCTCCCCCTTTCTGTCTTCCAGGATCCAATCTAGAATCATTCTCTGCATTTAGTTGTCATGTTTCTTCAGCCTCCTTTAATATGGGATAGTTCTTCAGTCTTCCTTGCCTTTCAGGACCTTGATGTTTTTTAAGAGTATAGGTCAGTTATTTTGTAGTATATTCCTCATTCTGGATTTGTCTGATGCTGCCTCATGATTTGACTATGTGTTTTTTGGCAGACATACCATAGAAGTAATACTGTGTCCTTCTCAGTGTATAAGGATACACGTGATGTTGATTTGTTTCATTACTTGTGATGTTATTTTGATCACTTGTTTATTGTGGTTTCTGCAATGTTACTGTTCTCCCCTTTGTAATTAATAAGCATCCTTTGGGGAAATATTTTGAGACTATGAACATATCATATTTATATCAGTATGGCCTCATGGATTTAATGGGTTATATTGGGTTACTGTCATTATTTACTTTGATGCTCAGTTGTCTGAGATTTGGCCACTGGGAGCCCCTTCAAGCTGTCTTCTGGGCCTTTTTCACATTTCCCCATTATCCTCTGAGCACTTCCTTACTTTCTGGCACATCTTGTGCATTGTCAGCTCCTGTCCTGGAACTGGCCATTTTCCAAGGAGTTATGGTTCCTTTAAGCGAAGAATGGAATGTAGAAACCAAAATCTGGGTGATGGGTGTGCTCTTTACTACTGGTGCATCTAACTTTTAACCTAGCAACTCTCTTTCAGGAATTCCTCCTGAAATACACTCACATATTTGTTAAAGGATCTATGTACAAGGATTAAATGCAGCATTATGTGGGATAGCAAGAGTGACATAACCTAAAGTTTCATTGATAGGGGACTGGTTAAGTAAATTTATATTTATACAATGGAATACTATGCATCCATAAAAGATTGAGGAATTATTTCCAAAATATATTGCTAAGTAAAAAAAAAATCAAAATATACAAC